GAAACAAAATAAGAAAGAAGCACAAAAGACAAAACACCTCTGACTACTTGGATTTAGTCTTGTTGGTCATTTTCTTGCTCCCAACATTAAACTTGCTGTAGTTTGAATTTTAAAAAAGCATTATTATATATTAATGTGCTTGATCTAATTTCTAAATTGCTTCTATGGTAACTACTAACTCCCAGGGACTATGGTGGATGCTCAACACAAACTATGCGTAATTATAAATAGATTTTAAAAAAAAAACAAACAGAGAAAACATATAATCACTGATATGGTTAAACTTTCTGTAAGGAGACGTTTACTTATTATTTAGCGACAGAGTCTCCCGTGTTGGTTACTCTGTAACAAGCTGCATTTTTTTCTGGCTGATTAACTTTAAGTGAGGAAATGACTGTTTATGGATGTTGTAACACAAGTATAACACAACTAATTTGTCTAGTGGACGCTACACAACATTAAAGTATAACTATGAACAGCTAAATAATATGACGAGTCTGTAAATGGTCACAAATTGCTGTGGCATAAGAAGAAGAAAACACTTCAGAATGTGCCGTTATAAGAAAATAATCAGACGGGGTTGATATTTTTCCTAGAACAACACAGCCGGTTGTGTCTTAGCAATTAGGTATAGTTTAGTCCGCACTAAGTATTGATACTAACGGAGTCTTTTAATGTAAACAGCGGACGTGATACTATGTTCTTATAGCTACAGTAGCTAGGTATCACCCAGGGCCCCTTAGCCGTTCAGAACGATCTCATTTGTCTTGAATTCAATGAGACTCCCAGACATATCGGCACTGCTCTGGTGGACTTATAATATAACAATGAAGAATCCTGCTGCACTACAGGCATGTGAGGATATTCAGCATTTTCTGTGAGGTCTGTTAGGGCAAACAGCTGCTGGGCACAGTCTTTAATCAGCCAGTCCAGAGACTCCTCCATGGTCTTTAGGTTTAGCAGATCAGTCTTCATCTTGTTCTTCCACTGGCCTTTGAAACAGCTAATTGGTGATGGACCCCTGTGACCAAAAAAAAAAAAAAAAAATTAAAATAAACCAAATGCGACACACTTATTAGATGAGGGAAAGTAAGAACTTTTGGTTCTGGACTACTGCATCGCTTTTACATCCAGACAAGTGTTGAGTCAGTAACTTCTTTTCCACACTATCAGCAGCTGTACTGCTGAATACTAAAATCCTACAGTAATGTAAAACTGAACAATGATTATCCAAATCCTCCCAAAAGCCAGGATGTGTGCGCAAATGTGGATCACATGATGCCTCAGCCTGTACTTACACCCACTGAATCTTGCTTTTTGACTTCTTTGAGATGAGCTTAATACCGTTGAGTACGTTGGTGATGTCATACACCCGCCTCTTGCGAGTGCCTAGTTTTTCTGTGGCCTCGTTGAGGTCGAGAATTCCTTCTGGAGCTGAGTGGAGCAGATCCATGAAGTGCTTGGTGAGCCGTCCAAGCGTTACCTCGGAGCGAGGAGTGGCGACTGAGAAACAGAATAAACACTGAACACATGTCCACCTAGATCACGGCACATTTGTCTAACAATTAAACGCATCACTAGGAAGAACATAAGTGCAGATTTAGCAGTCAGCTAAAAAGAATATCACATCTGCATGGATTTTACGTGATACAAATTTTTAATGCCATGGGGCTCTACAGTGTCACTACTGGTTAAAAAGAGCAGATACTTAAACTGATTTCTCAAGTGCTGTAAGTAAAATTTCAATATCATACCTTTTTTTCCAGGAACACATTTCTTTTCTGTGGAATTTTTAAGATTCTCTTGGCTGGAAAAATGGAAAGTAGATTACTAAAACAAATCTGAAAAAGACACAAGATTTTGTCAACAATAGCATATGGTATAGATTCTAATTTCCCAAATCGGTGTCCTACAATGAGTGAGTCACAAATATATCGTATGTTACAAAACATAACTGACAAGCCATAACTTACAGTCTTGCCAGCCACTCCCTCTCAGCTTCCTCATCTATGTACATTGGCTCTTCCTCTGTATAATCAGAGTCTTCATATTCCTCCTCATCTTCATCATCATCATCATACTCCTGCTCATCTTCATCCTCCTCGTCATCATCTGCAGGAATTTCAGTCTACAGGAAACAGAGATTTTACAAATAAAGGTTATTTATTAGATTTATGGAACTGCTTTTTCATTGATTAACACACAATATTGACGTGATACTTTTTTCCAAAGTGGGCTCTAGGCACCTCACGGGTAGGTGAAGCCATGTCAAGGTGTGTGCTGCAAATTAAAAAAAAAAAAAAACGATGACACAGTGGTAATTATGATCGAGTACTATCAAAGTTGTTGTATTTGTTACGGTTATTATTAAGTTATTGTAGTCATAAGCCCAACTGACTAGATTTGCTATGCGTAATCTAAACCTTGGAAAAGTGCTGTGATATGACACGAAATGGTTTAGAATCCATTTTGTAACTGCTGTCATGTTCTGGGGGTGAAAAGTGCAGGAATAAAAGCACTCATGGCCTCTATAAATTACATATTCGCCTAAGGGGCTTAAAATTTGAATGGGCAAAAACAAATGCACCATGGTCATAAATGGGTCCACTGCAGTAGAGGCTTGTGACCATAGATTTGGTGGGGAAGGACATTAATAACGACAGGAATATTTCATTTTGGTTTGGTATCACATTTGACATAGGCTACAGGCTACTAGGGAATTTTTAGAGTAACCCAGTAGTCAGTAGTTGAGAGTCGACAACATACAGTCATTCATCAAGAAGTCATTCAGCAAGAAGTCTGCGTGGAAACAAGGTCACCGTGATTCTCATGCATTTCTGATACAGACATTATACACTCTATAAGCACTCTTTCCCCTCTGCCAATCTTTGCAATATAAATTACAATAGAAATGGTTCTGTACATCATAGTCGCATTGTCTACACTTAGACTTTGCCTTTTCTTTGCAGAAACTTCTTCAGTTTTATTCTGATTATTTGTCAAAAAACAAGATGCTGGTGGTTGGTCCCTGTCATTAACAGTCCTGTTCTCTGCTCCTCCACTATAAATACTCATTGAGTGAGCGTGGGGCGGTGTGATTCTTGCCCCAGTGGGCCTTTATTTTTGACCACTAGGGGCAATAATAACTTTATGGCTTGGTCCTGGAGTGCCTCCTGTCCTGCACGTTTGTAGTTTCCCAGCTCTAACACACCCACTTCAACTAGTATAAACACACGTTTGTGGTTTACCTGCTCTAACACACCCACTTCAGAACGGATAAGCACATGTTCACGTTTTCCCTGCTCTAACACACCCACTACACCACAGGAAGAGCTGCTAAGTAGCTGATTAGTTGAATCATGTGTGTTGGGAGCAGGGAAAACACTAACGCAGATACCTTGGTGTCCATCTCAACAACAAGATGGACTGGAAGGTCAACTCAGAGGCTATGTACAGGAAAGGGATGGGCGGACTCTACTTTCTGAGAAAGCTTAGGTCCTTTAATGTTTGCCGCAAGATGTAAGAGATCTTCTACCAGTCTGTGGTAGCCAGTGCAGTCTTCTATGCAGCAGTGTGCTGGGGAGGCAGCATCAGAGCTGGAGATGCAAAAAAAGAAATAAATAAAAAATAAAAACTCAACAAACTGATTGAGAAGGCCACGCTGGCCTTCTCAATCAGTTTGTTGAGTTTTTATTTTATTTTTTTTGCATCTCCAGCTCTGATGCTGCTTGGGCCACGCTCTGGACAGTTTGGAAGTGGTGGTGGAAAAGAGGACACTCAATAAACTGACAGCAATCCCGGACAATAAACAACATCCCTGCCATAGAGAAGACTCAGAAAGGAGTGGCACAGGAGGTCATTTGTGCCAACAGCAATCACACTGCACAACAACTCATCTCTTGTGCTGGGACACTATTTTTCACTGAGCCAGTCTTAGGAAAAGCTCACTGGACGATAGCTGAACTTGAACAGTTGAACTACCACCATCCACCACTCATATCCATATACAGTATACTTACACTTTACTTCCACTCATTTTTCTGTTTACATTGTTTACACTGTACTGCCACTTTACTTCCATTCAGGTTTATAATCTTTTTTGTTTCATTTATAACGTTAAATTGCTTTTAGTATACTACCAACTCTCTTTGCTGCTGTAACAGGTGAATAAAGTGATCCAGGCTGAATAAAGTGATCCATCTCTGTGTCATGTGCAGGACAGTGGGTGCTAGAGGAGCAGGGCATTCATGCCTGTTCATGTGCAGGACAGTGGGTGCTAGAGGAGCAGGGCCGTCATGCCTGCTCATGTGCAGGACAGTGGGTGCTAGGGGAGCAGGGCGTTCATGCCTGTTCATGTGCAGGACAGTGGGTGCTAGAGGAGCAGGGCG